TTGTGGGCCGGGACTAAGATTTTTGAACGATCGATGCGATAAAACGATAGTTCGAGGAACGATAGAAGCGGGAAAATGTAACATTATTTTATATGGGATGTATTCGGGACCAAACAAAACGGACGATGCATCCGGGAAAACGATAGTTCCGGGAACGATGGATAGAGGTTTCACTGTATCTGGATAACAATGTTTCTCCAAGAGCACATGTAATTCGCGAGAGTTAAGTTACGAAAATAAAGCTTAGCCACTGCTAGCAATTAAAAACTGCAGAAATTCTGAGCACAAAAGGATGTAATTTTGGTCCTAAGCGAAATGTCTGGGAGAACACATTGGAGTCAGCATTCCTCAGATTGTTAACTATGGTTCCTTCTAACTTCATTATTCATAAAAAAAAAAAAAAAAATGCAGTGGCCACATTTAAAAGTCTATCTGGAGAACTGCTGAAATCTCAGTACTTACTTTCTTGCCCAACGCACATTCATCCCAGACTGAACAGCAAATCCTTCCACCATCTGCTGCTTCATTATATCATCAGTAAAAGCAGCTTGAGGGGAGACTGCAACTGGTACTGGTGTAGGAGCTGGTGTAGGTGGTGACATAACGGCTGGTGGCAAAGTTCTCACTACCGCCTACAAAGATTGCACCTTATGAGATTGCTTCAAAAGCCTATACTGCATTACTGAAGATTCATATACTTTATGTTACAAGAAGATAAAGGTATACAGATAAATTCTACACAGACTAAATGTCATAAAGGGCTAATTTAACGCCTCCTAATATCAATATCCACATGTTAAGATAAGTAGCTATGACACCCATGCAGCCTCGGAAGTCTCACGCTGCATTACTAGCAGACTGAGATATGTCACAATTGCTCTTATTTGATGTGGAATGATAAAGTTTCAACATAAATTTTCAAAGTCTTGACAGGCTTTATATATTAATGACGGTTCATAAGATATACAGATTTTATAACATTCCATTCACAAGAAGCACAGACTGAACTTCACAGAATTTTAATTTTATTAGAAAATCATTTAAGTTCACATCCTTAACCTTTTGAATACCAGCCGGCCGATCCGTCGGCCGAAGCAGTAGCTGTTAAGCCACAAATTCGGCCGACCCGTCATTACCTACTAAATCTGATGTCTGAATTACATACAAGGCTCCCAGATGGCAACACAATGCTGCTTCAGATAGTCTATACCTTAGTTCATGTTTTGCTGTACGGATCGATCTTCTAGGCCAACAAAAAAATATTTTATTTGAACAAATGAAATTTGTTGAACTCGGAAGTGGACCTCGTGGTGTGCTTACAATGATTGCTTGTGGATTTTGCTGTATTTTTGCTAAGATAAGTGTTAAGCCTTGTAATTGTGTTTTTAGTTGACGATTATATAGTACTTATGATATCGTTTCGTTATTTTCCTTAGTATATTGTATATAGGTTTAGTTTTTTTAGTTTTCTCACTTTGGCAATGGCTAGTGCAAGTTCAAGATTGGATGGAGCCAGTATTTTGGATTATTTGGATACTACAGATAGTGATAGTGACATTATTCAGGAAAGTGTGTCTGAATGTACTGAAAGTGATGACAACTGTGCTGCAGAAACAAAAGGCACATTTGCTTACACTATGCCCGGCATTGAATTTCCGTGTGCATTGTTTTACAAAATGTATTGTAGTTCAGAAACAGATAAGAGTACAGACACCAAACTCATATCAAATTATGCAGAACGAAATGTTCTTTCTTGCAGGATGAGTGATGAAGAAGGAAGACTAAACACAATTCATGATTTTGCCTCCTGAAAATGAAACTTTTTTATATTTCAAAATGTTTTCTAAGCTAACTATAACATTAGGATATATGAGATATTTCTTTTCCTAATCTACAGTATTTAGTGTATAAGTGTGATTTTTTTCATATGTATGTGTGTAAAATTCTTAACTTGGTGAATTTTTACATTTTAAGTTGTAAATACGTGAAAATTGTGTTTTCAACAATATTTTGCAAATAGGCTTCGGGGTTAAAAGGGTTAATGAAAATGTCCATAATTAATTTTTAGCAGAGTCTCTGCAGTTTCATGGAACATGGAAAGCACTGTTATATAAAGGCTAGTCATGATTTCTTATTAAAACAGATCCTCACCTTACTTTGTTCATCTGTTGCATTTGTCACAAACAGCTCCTCATTAATGATGCAATAACCCTCACCATAAGGCACAATGACTAACACCCTGTTGAATGACCTAAGAGGTTCATTTCTTGTGGGTCCTGGCTCCAGAAATAAGCCCGTCAATGATACCATAATCAACTGCGGCTGTTGGAACAAATCACACAAAAACTATTAATAAACAAAAGGTTCAAAATGGCTCACCATTCCACGCCAAACACAAGATACCTAACACGTTCAGGAATTAAAATGCATTACAGTCTTGAACCAGATCATGCAGCATGTTCTTTTTATAAAAAAGAAATACAATATTGGTAACTAAGATGCTATTTAAGATTGTGTTACCACTTCCCTGAGGCTGGATTACATGCACAAGACAGTACATCATCATTCCATAGCACACGTTTGCTATTAATCAACCAAGTTCGTAAACAAACCAGTTAGTGGTCATCAAGTTGAACAATGTGATCTACAGGTCATAGAAGTTTATGTAACAGTTCCTACCGCAATGAAAAAGCAATGCTTCCATTACTAAGATCAACTGGTTAACAGTTAGGGGAAATAAACACTGTTCATTCTAAGAATCATGAAAGACTTGAAAATACATCTAACAGATAAAATGCAGAGTAGCTGACTGTTAAATCTTGGCTCCAAAATGTTTAATTAAATAAATATGAGAAAACATCACTTTTGACTGTGAGGTGATATTCGTGGTATAATTACATTTACAAAAAATAATTTGTAACTAGAAACAAATGTCAAGGCCACTGAAATATGCAAAACAGCAGAAATTGTATCTAAAAATGTATATTCAAGTGTTCAGAGGTAACACAATACATATGCTTGAGGATATATAACAAAATTTGCAATGATCTAACATGATTCAATATTATTCGGTTTCTTTGTCAATCGTCCCATCCTGACTGTACATTTATGTAAAGAATCAACATCTGTACATAACTAATTAAACAATCTGAAATTAGAACTTACCGTGAAAAGTGTGAGATCTACAACAAATGTATGAGGATAATGATGTGTTTTGGGTAGCTTGGAAAGACAAGCAATTATAGCCAACTTTCCTTGGTACAGTAACTTTTGTCTTCTACCATTATCTTTCACACGAAGAAGATTCCGGCTGTCTGTGATGTAATTCACGAGCCTGGAATGCAAAGGAAGTATAACAGTTTACTAAAACTACTCTTATGAATTTCTTATACATTGTTTCAATGGTTCATGTATGAGCAGTTATCAGTGCAGCATACATACCTTAACAGAACAAAATTTGCATGAGCCCTTTGTGACCTAATAACATAGTATGACACAATATAAAAATTATGTCAATATTTGTTAATTAAATTGTTACAAGCACTGCAATACATGAAATCCATTTCAACAGGGTTGAACTTTTAGATTAACATAAAATGATGTAAGAACTTACTTGGAAGTGGTAGTGGAACTCTGACCAGGTGGATATGTTGACGTAATTGAAAACATGGCATCATTATGGTAAGCATTAGCCAACTGTTCTCTCTTATCACTGTCATACAGTTGGTAGAATTGTTCCAGGAATTGGCGGACCATATTCAAGCCTTCTTCTGTACATAAGTAGTTCCCCTTACTTTTTGGTAACTGTAAGTCTTCATTAACATCAAACAGGATTGGTGGAGGCAGGTCAACTCCATCCTTTGTGTAAGAGAAGAAATAGAGACCCTTCATTGTCATTAACAAACTAAGCAATTAATAAAACCAGTTTAATATTACCCTTCCACCTGCACAAAGGACTCCCAAATGAAATGGTAATCACCCTGGTGATGGAGGCAGCAAGGACCTCCAAAACCTTGGCAAACTTCTACCAGACAATGTGGTGCGACAACCCAGAAGACTCACTGCCATGAAAACCCCAAATCCTAAATAACTACAGTGTTCTTTGTAATGCCTTTTATTGCACTGCCATATCTTAATAATAATTTTACTGAAATATCCATTTTAACCAAAGAAGATGGGAAAAGGCAAAACATTTAAAAGATTAAAAAAATGCTGTGAATCAGATCATTTAAAATTTCATTCTTGACTATGCACATCCACTGATTTTCACTTTGGCCAAATGTTATGCCAGCATTCAAAACATTCTCCAGAAAACCACTGTGATAACATTTTAACACACAAAAACTCAACTACTTTTGAATATCAAAAATTTGGAGAAGAAACATAACACAATTGTGAACTTACTCACAAGGGATGTTCACTGTCAACATTGAAACAGGAACTTACTACTACACTTCTCTCAGTTTACAGAAAAATATGAGTTCCACTTAAAAATAAAAGCTGAAAAATATAATCTGTTAACACTCACCAGCTTCAACACCTTTGGGAACCTCTTCCTCACTTCACTGTAAAATGGGTTTGATCATTGTTAACAAAGGCACCTAAGAGCATGCCTGCAAACATCTCACAACATTAAAATACCACAATCCACGGCACGGAAATGTACAGTATTCTCAGAATAGTATTTGAAGTGATTTGGTATATCAAAGAATCAACATCAACAGTGACTTTCAAAACAATTACATAAAAAACATCAGCTGCTCACTAGAATTTAAGTGATCTGGAGAAGGCATAATATAATCATTAAAAGTATAAGAATAATAATAAGATCCCAAATCATGCATTATTGTTTTCAAAGATTCATCCCACAGAATGTGTCATCCAAAGCTGTTTCACATGTACCAAATGCCATACCAAAACCTTTACTACTCAACTGTACACTCTTATTACAGTTGCATTAATGAAGATGCAAATAATAACTGTTATAAAAAAATGTTAAAATTCAGTTGCAATTTTCAAATATTTAAAAGGTTCTATAAAAAAAAAGAATTCCATGTCAAAACAAGATTCAGTATGACACCTATTTTTACTTCGTAAGCATATACATTGCCGTAAATGGGACTTTTATATCAGTATTATATTTTACAAGTGAAAAGAAAGATTTCAAGATCTTGTAATCCAGTGCAATTCTTTTGTATCTTTAAATATATTATCTCTTTCATTTCTTCAAGTTGTTTCCCCACCCTTCCCAAAATCACAGATGCCATTAAAAAAAACATTCAATAATGTGCATTCTCATGGACAATAAGCACACTTATTTGGACTGGATTGATGTTAATGGTGCCTGCTAGCGGGGGTCAGTTCACAAACCCCGTCGCCGTCCTGGGTCACCTATGTTCATAAAGCAGCTGCCAAGATGATACTGTTCTTTACTCATCTTTTTGTTTCACTGCTGCATTAATATGCATCTGTAGTGCAGTGGCAGAATATCACCAGTCACATGATAATAAGCAGATCCCCTGACACATGAAGGTTTGCAGCTATGAATCTAGCATCTGCTTATGTCTGCAATTTGTCTCATTTCGAAACATTCTCCATATCTTTCCAATTTCATATATTTTTAATATCTCTTTATCTTTAATTACAACAGCATCCTTCACCAAACATACTTCATGGAGTACAAGATCAATGTATCCTGTTGAAAACAGCAGAACTACCATTTTTTAGTTCACTTATAATATTCAATACTTAGTACTTCATTTTATAATTAAAGAATCAAATATTAATCCTAAAAACATTTTTTTGCCATAGTGAATCTGGTTTCCAAGACATAGGTCAATAAATTTTTTGAATTTCATATGCCAGTGAAAGTTATAGGTCTGTTCTGTGAATCTTAACATTTTTATAAAAATAACATAAAACATTTAAATTAATACTACATGAGTGACTATTTGCTTCTCAAGGATGACTTTGGTCTATGAAGTTAGTTTTATTTACTTTGCAAGATTCATAAATACAACTGCAATGAAAATATTCAGACTCTTTTCAAAAACAAAGCATACTTCCGCACATATGAAACAGCATGGAGCACTTTAAAAAATGTGTTTATAAATACTCTGAACTCATAAGCATGAGATATATAAACAAAAATATAATATATAAAACATCATGTAATGCAAGAGCATAGCACTTATGAATTTTGAAAACCAGTTTAATATTAATTATTGGGAATAATAGATTAAATACTCAATAAATATGTAAATAAATGTAAAATAAAAACTGCTGTCATGAAAATTAAGACCAGAAGAGTAGAAAATTGGTGTTCATATGCCTCGTCCTAGAAAATGGAAACATCACATCCTTCAAACATAATGACCATTTAAAACCAGTTTTCATACTGAAGGCAATTTCGTACTTCTCAACTGAATTACAAACTATGAAAGCAACAGAAAATCTATCACAGAGAAAGTGCAGCTGTATGTACATATACCAAATTCCATTACAATTTCTTACTTCTTTCTTTTATACCAAATACACTTCTTTATAAGTAAAAGTGAAATTCCTAATCTAATCCAATCACAAAGAAGTTAACATAGTCTCAATACCTGCAGCATTCAGCTTTCCTTTCTTTCTACACAAAAACCTTCATGACTGGAGTCTCTGTATTTAAGTTTCCCAGAGTCATTCCATAAAGTTGGTCAATATATGATTTAATATTTTTAGGATGACATATATCTGAGCACCATATTATTTATTCAAAGAAGTCGGGTTTTCTTGTAAATGCTTGCCATAAATTAATATCACAGAGAATGCCCAACAGTTTACACTGCATTCAAGTGAAGAATAAAATCAACGTTATCCAACACACAAAATTCAGAGAAACAATGATGAAGTCATCGTAAAATAAATTAAGTACAAGCACAGTATCCAAAAGAATATCTGAAATAGCGATTGTCATTCTGATTCATTTCCAAACAAAACTGTATGACTTCATAATTATTTATTTCTAAAACCCAGCTATAATTTTCAGTACTTAGTAATTGTCAGGTATTAAGATTGTCAGTGGTAGAAAAACACTGTAAAACATAGAAATTGGTGCTCAAAAAACTACAGTGCATACGTTGTTGAAAAATAAAAGCATCTTTAGAATAAGACTTTCCAAATAACCAGTTAAAATTAAGTGCTGAATTGCAACACAACGTCCAGTGTCATTGTGATGCTGACGACAAGAAAATTAGTAGAATAAAAAAATGTTGCATGATGAAATTTATAAAATATTTATGTGAATTGGTTGCGTGGGAAAGATAAAAAGAAGCAACCACGTCAAGTACTCATAGTGATAAGAAATAAAGTTATGTATTTTATCTACCTTGACAATTACTTTCTCTCTTTGAATTAAGTTATATATGAAATAAATAATATTTCTTGCTCAGTAGCACTGAATTCAGGTGTTAGAAATCAATAATAGACGTAACAAAATCGTTACAGACATCTAATGCCATATTATCTTGAGTAAGGGTATCTGTTATGAGCCGGGATAGCTCAGTCAGTATAGTGACTAGCTACGGGCTGGACGGCCGGGGTTCGATCCCCGACAGGGGCAGAGGATTTTTCCTCTAGCCTCTGCGTCCAGACCGGCTCTGGGGCCCACCCAGCCTCCTCTACAATGGGTACCGGGGTCCTTTCCCGGGGGTAAGGCCGGCCGGGGCGTGATGCTGACCACTCACCCCCATCTAGTGCCGAGGTCAAGGAAGAGAGGAGCTATACCTCCACTCACCCCAAACGCCTACATGGCGTATAGTGGGACAAACTTTACAAGGGTATCTGTTGTGAAGAAGTCTGAGATGATACACTGTAAATAAATCCAGATTAAAATACGTTCAACTCTTTTTCACAACTCAGATTAACCAACATTTCAAAACACATAATTGTTTGTTCGAACGCATGCACGTACATCTACATGCATAAACTGTGACCTCGTGGTTCATCCACCTTACCTAGTCAACCAGCAAATCTGACGACACCTATAGCAAAAACAAATCTTATCCTACCTTACATATACATTCTGATCCTGATATTTGTCACACAGAGGGTTTCCATCCAACATTAGGTCTTCTAGACGAAGGCCCTCTAAACAGTCCAACTGATGTATGTCCCGTATCTGGAAATAAGTCATAAAAAAATCAAGCCATCATGTATGTACACTGAAATTAAACATACTAATGCCTTCTTACACATAAAGGTAAGTAAAAAGTTTATATACATTTTCCCAATTTTAAATTAATAAAAAGTCCAAAATCGCATCTATTTCTGTGCAAGATGTGAATGTAAGACAATATCTTTTAGACACAAAAGAGGTCTGTCTGTCAAAATGGTCAGGAAATGCAGTGCCTACAATGGGTGCCAGCTAGTTATTCTATTGATTAATTAGTTGTTTAGTTTGAATGGAGTATCTCACCCTGTTTCTCCCGATGTAAAGGACTCTGAGGCTTGGGAGTTTAGTAGAAAGCACACTGAGGTTGTCAAGTGAGTACAGCTTGTTGTCAGATAAATCGAGTGCTGCCAGATCAGGAGCATTTTCCACAACAATATCCAACACTGCCAACATCATGGCGGGTCTGAACAATGCCACAGCATAACTGTCCATAAGATCTGCAAACACAATTTTTTTTAGTTAGTCTTAAAATTAACAGATCTTCACTGATTTGATATTTTGACCTTTCATAATTCTGTATATAACAGCACAGCCTTTAAATGCTTCATCCCTTATACTAATCAGATTCATTGTAGTTTATTCCGTGTTCTTCACAAAAAGTGCACAAAAGATTGCATACTAATTTTCCTAAGATATATCACAGCATGTATGATGTGAATGAGTTCTGTATACACAATCAACATTCTCTTACCTGGATCCGTGTGAAAACGTGACAAATCAAGGGCTTTTAAGTTAACATTGAAACGCTTAATCATTGCTGCCTTTATTTTTTCCTTCATGGTAGAATCAATCTCTACATGCGGTAAGCCAGGCCTTACTTTCACCAACAGCTGTAAACATAAACAGTTTTATTAGAAATAATTTAAACATCATGCATGAGGTCTGCTGCAATAAAATGATGATGGTACAGTACAAAGTCCACAGGCATTATATTCAGCACATGACAATATGTTTCCTGTTCTAAGGTACCTCTGCAAACAGATGAGAGTTCTTCATTTAAAACAATTTTACCTAAGCTATGGACTGCATTGCCACAGCAGAATCCCCACTTAACAAAACTATGTCATGCTAAGGCTGGGGCTACACGACCGTATAAAGTACGTCCATTGTAACGCACATCGTGACGTCCGTCATAGAATTATGAAGGGGCATATAGGGTACAATACACGAAGCACGCGCACTGTCCCTTCGTAATTCTATGATGGACGTCACGATGTGCGTTACAACGGACGTACTTTGTACAGTTGTGTGGCCCCAGCCTAACTGAACTGTACATCTGTATGAGCAATATCAGCAATGGGCAGTTTGTTCCTAAATGTGCAAAGGCCATGCAAGTAAACATAGTGTACTTATAGATAACAATTTTAACAAATCTTTTGCTTAATGATCAACTCTCAAGACTCCACTCAAAACACAATAATACCACTTTCAAAACTTCTCAATGTATTGCTAAATAAGTAAAAGAAAACAGAACACAGATTCACCAGACTTTCATACAATTTAATTTTGATGCAACTTACAATGAATCCCATACAAATACTTTCAAACCATATCAACCCATGATGACAAGACTCCTTACTTAAGAATTGGAACTACTGTGCTTCCTATGCACATATGAAACAAACTTCTATAACTGTATGAGAAAACATAGTTTATGCTTTCATACATCTCTTCAATACCAACTACAAAAAACATATTCAATTTGCTGCCAACAATTTCTTAACATGCATGTAAGTTATATACAGAAAACTTTAAAGTTCAGCTCAAAATTCAAAATAACATTTACGGATATACATACATTCATTCAATGCATGCATGTAACAATATAATATACCTTAAATCCTTTAAATGTAGTAATTTTCTTGCTAATGCTGGTCAACTTTTCTGCGGCATTATAATCATCAACAAAAAATGACGAATCTGATCCTCGAACTTCATACTGGAAGGAGGAATGAAACAGGATTATTCAAAATAAGTAGCATACGGTCCCAGACGATGATAATAATTTAAAATGCAATTGTACTCAAATTATTAACACCCAAATCAACACTGTCTTGGTATATTCCAAATCTAAAATTCAAAAAGTGATAAGCAGTTATGATATTCATCAAAAACTCCCAAAATGGAAACATAACAATTTATGAACTTCTAGTAACCCACATCCCTAGTAATATAATGTATATCTTGTATTAATCCCACTGACATACATGATTTTATATACAATACAGTATCACTTGAACAACACTTAAATTATTTTGGCTCTCATCTTGTGACTGAACCACCACAAAATTAGGTAACTCAATTTGAATGGACAGACATCCCACAACCATCAAAGTATATCCACGAGTTGAACTAGATAGAAAACAGACCATAATAAAAATTCACAAGTTATAACTGCTGAATTCTGCAACTTTCACCACCACCACATATATTACTTTGGTACCGCTTACCTTCGCCCAAAATAAGGACTTCAAACATTATAAATGCTTTTTCTGTTCCCATATAGCGAATCATTAAAACATTAGCTATACTCCCATTACAAACTTACAAACATATCATTCTGTAATTCCCTTAAGTATTTTCAATATGTGGTTCAGCCAATCACAAGGCTGTAAGCAGAAACGTGTCCGATTAGGCTGGGGCCACACGACCGTACAACGTATGTCCGTTGTAATGCACATCGTGATATCCGTCATAGAATTATGATTTGTAAGTACAGACAATACTATTTTTTTTCTAAATCCTTTCAAGCTGCCGCAGTAATTGGCGCTCGTGGTGTCCTCACCTACGTCTGTACAAAAGTAGGTCCGTTGCAACGGACATACTTTGTACGGTCGTGTGGCCCCAGCCTTAGTCTGGAATGTATACTGAATAAAGCCAAGATTCCAACTGCAGTTGTACCACTTCATGTTCACAGATGGCACATGAGGACAGATGTTTGGTTCTGTGACATATATAGCAGGAAACATGAGGAAAATAAATTCTTACCTAAGCATAATTTCCAGTCATGTACCAGTCAATGTTTTCTCAGAAAAATAGAATAGTATACTATATATTTTATTGATTAAAAGAAAGAAAAAAACAACATAAAAATGTAATGTACCACTTAAACACTAAAATTCCCTGTAAGTAATAAGAACCCAAAGATTTCAATAAAAAGCTTAACACTGGTACAAACCTTGAACCAGTTCAATTCATGTGACATTATCAAAACCTATTTTCTCAAAATCCATTCTTATACTGCCTCACTTTGGGTTTTTACTTGGTCATGTTCCCACAAAAATTTTAAGTGTTCTTTATCTTATTCATTTGAGCTACAAGCCCATTACATTCCAACCTCCTTGATCTAATTGCCCTAACAATCCTGGAAGAAAACATAAATCACAAAATTTCTCATTTTGTGAATCCCTATAATATGATAAAATGTAAGTTAACGTAACCTAATGAAAAAGAATTGGAACATGGGGTACAATTAAAATTTTAAAAAAGTACTCTAATGACAATATATGCATCCAAATGTCAGCCTTGATTAGTGACAACATACTGAAAGAATGGCAGAAACTTACACGCAGCGGAATAAATATAGTTGGTGCGACACTGGCCAGTAATGTTTTCAGGATGTAATCTTTGCTATACTTGCCCCCATAAGGAATCTGAAATAAAGAATATATTTCCAACATAATAATTACATGGTGTTATAACAAAAGATTGGAAAAATTAACAAAATTAGAACCGTATTTTACAAATATAACCGTTAACAACTTACTGTTACTTTAAACCATGATACTGTGTTATCTGGACCATTCTTCTGGCTGAACTGTGAAGGTACAGGGGGGCTGCCACGACCTGGTCTCCTTCTGTTACCTGAACTCCTACATGAAGTTCTGCCACCTCTACCAACAAAACGGCCTCTCCCAAAATATGGGTTGCTGCAAAATTGAAGACAGTGTGATCTCTACAGACATTTACTATAAGTAATAACATATCTTGAGTTAGCATTGTTCTGTTACGGCTTAATGCTGAGAAACTACAAATTTAAAACACTGCAAATTGAAATAATACAGACAATTAATTCCAGTACAAAAAAAACTTTCTTGGAAACTCTGCTTTGTTTCATGTTTGAGTATTATCACTTACCACAATATCAGCCCCAAATGGTGTAACAAGTTATTTTCATTTCAGAATGTTTTCAGTTTTGCATAAATGATAACTCAATCTGATTAATACTTAAGGAGATATTCTTAAAACCCATGTTTGCTTTCATGTAAAGAATCAGCTATGATTCAAAAGTACTCTTTTTATTCCCTTTATTTTATTAAGTCTAAACATCTATAACTACAGTATTTATTCTTAATTGTTTCACAGAAATTCAATTCTGCAGGACAGAATTATATGCCTAAGACAGGAGGCAGATTGGCAGAAACAAAAGTTTTACATGGTTATGAACATATTTATAAATTATGCATGACCAAAATTCAGCCACCCTGCATTGTGGCAGGGCCAACAAAAACTGCTCATCAACTCAAATGATTCACTTGGAGGGAAAGGATCAAGTGCTAAACGTTCTTAGTACATGACAAAGTGAATTTGAGTATGTATCAGCTTAAACACATGTAAGGCTCATCTCATGTGCCATTTTTTAAAATTTGCTATTAGTGCTGGAGCTGCTAGTAGGAAAGAACAGGTCTTTTAAACAACAGAACAACAGACACTAACTATTTTATGATCTGTGATCCTGAGAAACTCCAATGCCAAATATGATTATTTTATAAAGTTCTTAAAAAGAATAAACTTTTATGAAAGTACAAATCAAGGTCAAAAGTACAGCAGTAGCTACATAACTGCTGATTCAAGGACTGGTTTGATACAAAAGATAACTTTCTTCTGACCATAAAGTTCCCAATACCAAAGTTCATTGTGATCATTCTTATACAATAAAGACAGTAACATAAATATATGACTTAAATGGCAGCAAAACAATCTTGAGTCTCTTTCATATCAAGCAAATTAGTCCGGGACAGAAAAAGTTTAAGAACTATTACTTAACAATGCGATTAGCAATTAAATGTACAGGTAACAGGCATCAGAATACCAGTATTATAAACAATTACTTACAACCGCCCAGAACCTCTTCCACTTGAGCCTGGTGTGCTCATATCAACATCATCATCAGCAATACTCGCACGAATAGCCATGTCCAATTCTCCACTTCTAGGATTTCCAATGCGGTTGCTTCCTGGTTTGAAAGATACTCTTCGTATATTGTCATTGACACGATCATCATGTTCTGAAACAAAATAAATTATGTGTATTATGCATACATAAAATTTCTGAAAAAACAGATATAATTATAAATCATTATTAAACAAATTGAAAAAAAAATTAATGTGACAACCAACAAAATGATGACAACAGATGATACATAATTTTCAAAGATCTACTGCCACACCAAATTTCAATGCACTGCATTATGGGACACTGATATTGTTCTGACTTCAGTAGTTTAAAGGTTCATCATCTTGGTATTAATTATGGCAGAAAATTAAAGATGGGGTGGCCTCTAATGGTGTTATATTCATCCAGTTTCATATATACTCAGGATTAGTATGTCTTATATATTGTAAGATCCTTCTGGACCCATTATCTTCCATCCTCTTCGTATGGTGGTTGCTAAGGAGACACATACAGTAAAACTGTAGGAATATGTGGTCACTACATTATAATGTTATTCCTCAAATTTTTGCCCATTTTAAAAATGTTTAATGTATTTATATATTACAAGTTTGTCAACTAATGATAGTGGATTTTCCATTTTGCTTTCAAGTTAAGAAAATACATAACTATAAATTTAAACAAAATCATGCAACCATCCATACAAAATCAAACTAGTTTTATGAAACTTTCTGGGTCAGACCAGTCATTTACTGCTGGAATTGCATGAATAATAACAAAATTGTCCCTTGTACTTAAGCAAACACCATGCCATACAGATATATGAGGAAGTAGAATAATATCTCAAGACATTCGTAACTTTGGCAATTGATGGAGGTGAGTGGTTAGCATCATGCCCTGGCTGCTTCATCCCAGAAATAAAACCATACCTATTGGACTGGATGCTGGTTTGGCCTGAGATGGCCTGGACGTTGTGGAGAAAAAGATCTTCCCCGACAGGAAATGCACCCAAGTCGTAACCTACCCACTATACAGATTGAGCTATCGTGAGAGTAGAGTAAAGTAGAGTTTATTTACATTCCATAGATCCTTCTTAGGACTCAACCAAAGGATGTAGAACATGTCATTTCATACAATATACATACACTTCACAACTTTCAACACAAGTACAAGAACGTATTTCACATATCAATGTACATAAATTTCAGATTCTGCAATACAAGTATGAAAAATAATTTTACAAATTAATATACATAAACCTCAGAATTTTAAATATAAATACAAAACTTGCTTTACATACACGTAGATTATGGATATAAAGCTTAAACATTTTCAGCAGAGATGAAATCATCTACAGAATAGAAGGAGTGAGTAAAGAGGTAATCTTTCAATGCAGGCTTGAATACCTTTATATCATAATTTAGACTTTTAATTGTTGGTGGAAGATTATTAAACAACTTGATACCTGTATAGTACACTCCTTTCTGATATTTAGTAAACTTAGCATTTGGCACATATAGATCATGTTTACGTCTTGTATTTAAATTATGTACATCTGTATTTCTTTTAAATTTATCCATGTTTTCCACCACAAATGATAGCAAGCAGAGTATAAATTCACTTGCAAGTGGAAGTATATTAAATTTACGAAATAATTTTCTACAAGATACCCTGCTTTTGACACCGGCCATTATTCTAATTATTTTCTTTTGCATGTAAAAAACTTTATTACTGTCTGTTGAATTTCCCCAAAAGATTAATCCATATGACAATACAGAGTGAAAGTATGCAAAGTAAACTAGCTTTAAAGTATATCAAATCTAAAACTTCTTGACGATAGTGAAGAGTCAATTAAATAAAAATTTACTTGGATATTATCCATCGTCTA